AAAGTTGAGTACTTAAAGAAGTGCGCTGTCGCGTCCGGTTGTCTCATATTATTGGTACCGTGATGTTGCTGTTTTAAACCGATCGGCGAGATAACTGCGGCACACCCTGAAAGTGAGACCTCTAACCGAATATCGCGGTATCGACGAACGTGCCCCAAGTTTCCAAACGTCAGACGAGTCTTTTGTGTGGGTTCCAAGATGTATTTGTCTAAATTGCTTATTTTCTCGGCTGCCTTAGTGCTCCACCGGTTAGGATGAGATTGTGACTGGGATGGACCCAATCTTGTAATGGAATTACGTATTTTGGAAGAACGAAACTCATTGCCGAATACGGATTTACTAACACCTAAATTTTGCTAGTAACCCTTCTTGTGAAACCCAATAAAACAGCTCAGAATATAGAGGAAAAACAAGCGTGGTATGTCTTGATGGTCGAACACCAAGAAGTTAAATATAAGCCAGTGGATCATTAATGAACCCGAGGCCCCGGGACCCATTGTTGTTGTTGAGTGTGCAGTGTTCTACTTGTTAGTCAAATTTTTTTACAATTCCAACTTTGGAAACTATCAACGCGTGCCGGGAGATACTACTCGCTTGTGAGTAGTTCACAAATCGATGCGATTTCTTTCAACGGCCAGAAAGGAACAAGACGTGTTGGCGTGAATTTCTGCTGTTCGTTATGGGGAACACAAAAATGCGCATCCAATTATGGACCGTTCCATCAACCATACTGTCTGCCTGTGGGAATTCCCCATACTCGTTCTAAATGAAATATTTTGTATGAATGACAATTTACCGATACCGTGACCGTCATTGGTAATAAGCAACTTTCCTTGACCGGGCATCGACTTCTGGAATTATAACACACGGACTCACTAAGGCCGATTTTGTGATAACAAACGTCATTGCATATATAAGCGATGGAAAGTTTTATGATGACCAACAAAGAGTGCTGGACAGCTGTGTCCTCCTATTTGGGACTCGTCGTATAATTCGTCTTTACAGGCCCCGAAAAATGTGAAAAACCAAAGCCGCCATGAATGAAGTGAATTCTTATCTCTTCTTCTTGGCCGGCAAACGGCTCGGTTGCGTTTAAGCCCTAAGGAACAGAGCGCATCTATGTTCGGCAAAATTTCACGATACGAGTGTCATAAATAGTGGTGTTCACACTCTGCTTGTCTCTAGTCTTCTCATAGTTTATACATTGTTTCACAACAATGAGTTCACTGTTTTACACACTGTTTAACAAGATGAGAGATATACAAAGGTAGTTTCAACTGGGGTGCTTAAGTGCAAGGTTCACGAGTAGCACAAACTGATCCGCGGTCATTTTTTTCTCTCGGAAACGTAATCTTCCACATCTTCGAGAGTGTGAGCTGAGTTCAGTTCAAAGTTCCACATATGGCTAGTTCAAGTATTCTTTCGAGGTGACGTGCACGAATATTTGCTCAACATTTTCCCAACCTTCCAGGTCGTTATAAACTCGGATACAGGGCCGCCTGCAGACGCTTTGGTGATGCGACGCCCTCCACTTCACTGTGTGGTGAGTGCTTTGGTCATAAGGTTGAACGTTGAAATTTTATTTCAACTATTTTGATTTTGAGTTTGCTGATTGATCAAAATGATTTACGATGATGTCCATCTGCTTCCATTCCAGTGGCTTCAGAATCCCGACGGACTTCCCTTAACGGACGTGACATTGAGTGCACAATTGTCTCATCGTCTTCGTCCACACCAGAAGGAAGGTGTACGATTTTTATACGACTGCCTCATGGGATTTAATTCTCCTGAGTTGGTTGAAGCATCGTCCAGTCAACCCATTTATGGTTGCATTTTGGCGTAAGTTAGTGCATAGTTTCTTAGTATGGCGAACCACTACCTCATACTGTTTATCGTATTTTGACTTTTTGTACGCGTTCTGAACCGGAACAAAGTACATTATTAAACTGGTTACTCGAAGCTAGAATAAACAAACATTAGAGAATTTAACCAGATTTTCTTGTCCTTCACGTGGTTTAATTGAAGTTAACTGAAATGCTAGCTCCAGACCAACTGTATCACTACTCGTGATGTTTGTGATTCATGAGACATGAAATAACAAAGTTCAAGGTGAAAATGTGTCCTGTTGTTGGTAACATGTAAAAGGTAAATCACGAAATTGACTGATCTGTGACGATCCTGGAACCGATTGAGCCTTAGCGTCGCCAGCTTGGACTGCTGAAGTACGGCAGCAATTTCAGATTAAACTTGGTGCTTCGAATAAGCAAATAAAAGGCTCATGTATGCAATATATTCAGGGACGTATTCAGCGGCTTTTAAATGTTTTTACTGAATAATCAGTTTACTGAGAAGTTCCCTAGGACAAGTGCCTCTGTTGAGGAATAAAACAACTATTAATTACTTAGTTTGATTCCTTTTTTTCAACCTTGAGGTCCAGCTTTACAGTTCTGTTTTGGAAAACGGAAAATTATTGCGGGAGAATAATTGTGTTGTTAATTATAACACACGGTTTATCTTTTCTTGAGGTTTCATTTTATGTTCAAGTCCATAAGTTTCAAACGGGATTTCTTTTCTATCTATTCCAGTTAAATATCAGGGTCTCATTATCATGTGCCTTTCTCAGTGTTGACTCGTTGTTCCCGCATTTTGCTCTCGTCGAGTTCATTGGTGCAGTATTTTGTGTTCCCGTACTGTGTGTTAAAAACCTGTTTTCTCTCTGGCACATCTTTTACTGCTCCGCTAGAGATGAAATGGGCTTGGGTAAAACGGTGCAAGCCATTGCCACGCTTTGGATGCTTCACACACAAGGACCCTATGGCGGACGTGCCGTTGTCCAGAAATGCTTGATTGTCACCCCAAGCTCCTTGATCGAGGTTAGTGTTCCGTATGTTATACGTCCCGCATGAAATTTCCACCTACTTTAGTTTTGATTATTTTCTGTCAGTTTCACTTATGACTAGTGTCCGTCTACGCGCGAACTTCTCTCCTTATGATATCTTTTATAGAATTGGGCCAAAGAAATTACCAAATGGGTGGGTCGCGAGCGCCTANTACTGTGTCACTCAAAACTCAACAATCAAGGTAATCCTATCTGGTCTGTTTTCCGTATTTTCTCACGATTTCTGTCATTCGTTCCATTGAACCACTTATTTTTTCGGAGCTTAGTTCACGTCGCTCGTAGTTACACATTTTTATGCAATTTCAATTATTCTGCTCGCTATCTTTAAACGAAATCTGCGTTTTGAAATGTAAATCAGACGGGCTAATGGATTAAAAACAAACCATTCCATGACAGCATTCGATCATTGTCCTCACTTTTATCTTAATATCAGCTGGTTAGATCCTTTGGGTCACAGTTGGCATTGTAATTCAACCTAAACAACTCAACTCAGTAACTACGGTTTTTCTACATTTTCTGGTTTTATAAAGGCGCGTTACTTGTAATAATGATTTTTGTCATGCAGTCGTCCTCAGTGGACGACGATGACGACAACAACAACAACAATAACATCACTATATTGTCACTACAGAGGACGTGTGTTCGAATCTTATCATCACCGTCGAACTTTCCCCATGATGTGTTGTGTAGCAGCCCTTTGATTAGACGCTTTCCCCTTCTCCGAAATTGTAACTTTATATATTCAATAAAAGGAAGTAAAAATGAAAGAAAAGAAAACAACCAAAACATCCTCATTGTCACCCAGTTCAATACCAAATTTGTTCTACGGGTGCTTTATATGGTCCACTACTTCAGACTTCACGGTTTAGTTTGTCGGATTTCGTCAGTGAACATTACTTCCACTTGACTATGCAGTTCGCCCCTGTTCCCTGTTCACCACACTCAACTGTGTGATCAGAGAATTCATTGTGCGCATGCAGTATGCAATACAATTGTAAATGATGAATGCCACATAAAGGTTTATAACATCGGTACCACATTCAGTTCAAATGCAGCAGAGGAACTTGCATGCTGTGTTTAACATTTAGTAAAATTCCCAAAATCTCGTGAATTACACAAGGAATGGTCTTCAGGAGGATTGATTGCATCCTCCCGATGAAAACCACCGGAGATGACCGAAACGTTGAGCAATACATCACTTCTGTTAAAAAACGTGTTATTCACAAACGTTTCTGGAGCATATGAAGTTCCTTTGTGAAGCACACTATTCAACTTTATTTGCCCGTTGTCAGTAGCTATTAGGATAACTTTCACATAAATATACCGGTCGCAAGGTAAAAAGGTTATTCATTTGTTAACGACTATTTTCGTTACTAGTCGAGATGACATTCCTAATGCTGTAGCAATAAAGCCTTCACAATCTAATTGGTAATTTAGACTAGTGATTAGACAACTTATCGATACGTATTTGTACCTGGTTTAAATCATATTTCAAAGGTCTTCTGTTCACTAAATAAAATCCTTTATTTACTTGAAAAGATCATTTACTCGTTGTTTAGCCAATAAGTCGTTCATGTTTATTTGAATTGGTTTCTAATGTGGTTATCTCATTGATTCATTTACCTAGGTGCGTTGTCATTGCACATCCCGTAATTTGCCCTGCGATATATTTCGAACGACGATGCTATTTTCATTTCAATAATTGACTACTGGCTAACCAACAGTAGCCAGATCATAGAATTTATTTCTATCGTCCTCTGCTTGCTTTGCGTTCACAGGCGTACCTTGCTCAGGGCAATCATCCCGCGCCGGTAGTAATTATGTCTTACGAAATGTTTTTGCAACATTCATCTGAAATATGCGGAATTCCCAATTTGGATATGGTCATATGCGACGAGGGTCATCGATTAAAAAATGCTGGTATCAATACTTCACAGGTGAGCGCTTTTGGATTCCCCATCGTGGCTCAATCATTCCCTGTCACAAACAAGATCAAGATCAAGCTAGCATCTCGGATGCGATTTTTTTAGTGAAGAAAATGCCAGAGCTGTTTGAATTGACAAATGATCGTGAATGGCCTTTCAATATTTACTACTGATGTTCGCCTTTTCATGTCAGCTTGCGCTGTGGTTGGTCAGATGCTTAAAAAATATTGATCTCATAATTAATTTCGAAGTCCGATTGTTATAATTGCACTTCATTTTCAGCGATCTGTCGGAGATGTACATATCAGGGTAAACCTATTTCTACCCTATTGCAGCTTGAGGTTAACCATCTAACAGTGTCATTCAATATCTCCAAGACTGATTAGCCATCTGTTTTTCACAAACGTGGTATCTACTGTTTCTGTTTCAGTTTCGGGGGTTCACTACTCATTATTGAACCGTTATTTTATCTTCTTGAGTATCGTTTTTCTGCCCCTCTTTCTCGGTCTCCGCATGTACCCACTCGTACCTCACGTGCATTCCCAAAGATTTATTTCCTTTTCCGTGGTGAACGCTTTTTGACACTTGCCAAACTCGTACTACTGTGCAACGCTCAGTTAAGCCAACCGCCTCAGTTGCTAGTTCAGTCCCAGGCTATTGCTTCACTTTCCTTTTGTATCGTTACGATCATGGTTTCTGCGGTTGGTGTTGTAAAGTGCTACTTACATTTCGAGTTGTATGTTTGGAATGTGCAGAAGAATATGGTTAGCGGTTTCCTACAACGATCAAAATGAACAAGACCTGGAACGGATCAGCGTGTTTGAAATTGTAACTACGGACAACGCATATCTACCGCGGTGCTATTTCAGTATCCTACGTGCTTGTCGAAATTATGATTGATCTGTTCCAGATGAGATGCTTCGGTCTATGTAGCCCAGTTTACCCAATCTTTTATCGTTGTTCCGAATAAATGCCTCGCCTGAATCCAGCACTGGATTTATAACACTGGGATCCCTGACTCTCATGTTTCCCCGTCCCATTCGCACGCGGTCAGAAAGCTATTCTTGTAAAGTAACTGTCTCCATCTTTTTATTGCATACTTTCGTGTGATAAACAGCAGACGGGGATGATAACCTGCTGTTCAGTGATGGAAACAGGTGACCGGAGCCCCGGGGCTTGGAGTGGCGAACCACATAAGGCCCCGCTAGGTAAGGCGTGGTATTAAACCGGACGACAGCAAAGCTGCCTACTACCAAAGTTGGGTGGCGCTGACGGGGCTCGAACCTCGGACCATCAGGTTCGAGGCACGCCGGTGACAGCGTCTAAACCACTGCGCCATCACCACGTGTTCGGTCTAAGCTGTGGAAAGTCCCCATTGTCTCAATCTTACAGTCTTCAAGTTTTCAAACAAAATCAACAAACTAGTTCTGAAATGAGTGTACTGTAGGTTTTTAGATTTTAAGATTTATCTATTCTTCTCCGTGTTCACTATGACTCGGTGCGTAATTCCAATCTGAGCTACTGTTCTGTAGAGTGACGTCTTTAGGTGCTAGTTAAGTAAGCAAGTGCTTGANTTGACACGTGCTCAGAATAAACAAAGAAACAGAAGGATGATTCTCTTCACAAAATTGGCGTACCTATATGATAACAATGAGTGTTTCTACTTTTATTTGTTTATTGAGTATAAAAATATACGGTCAACTTTCTGGAAGCCGGCCACGGCGATACCCAGGGTGCCAGTGAAAATACTGTAATGGGGTAGATAAGTTTCGGTGTCCGGATTCGAATTCCGGACCTCTTTCTTGCCGTTTTAATAACCTGAGCTTCTCGACCGCCATCGCCGAAAACACTACTGGTGATGTTTATGGATGCAAAAATGTGGGTTTCACTTTTTTGGAGGTGCATACAAATAGGCCCAAAGGGACATTTGACTGGAGGTGTAAGCCGACAGGTAAAGGTGCGTGACTCGTATAACCACAATCTTATTCTACATTGATTGATGCTATTGATTGGATCACTGATGTTCAATTATTTTTTCTTAGTGACATTTTTGCTTTCTTTTATTTGTTGAATATACATTTGCACAGCCAATTTCCAGGAAGAGGCAGCGGTCAATTTAAGAGTACTTGCGGTTGCTTGAGTGGGGTGGGTGAAAAAGTCACGATCTATGTACTGATGACCTTAACTACATCATCAGCGTTCCATTGTATGGATTCGTCACGGGAATATGTTTATCCCGGGAGCGTAGTGAGTCGGAATATCGTCTGATTAGTTCAGGAACTAACTTCCTGACAGAACCGTAGCTTTCCACCAGTCGACCGAAATGCCTTTCTTACATGGCTGATTTGAGGATTCGAGACACGACTGCGAATTTGTTTAATCGCGGGCACAGGTAGTGGGACCGTTGGTTTTATTTGGGTGCGGGTTAACGAGTGCAAAGTAAAGCATGTTAACAAGTTTTTGTTTTCAGTTCAAGAGAGTTTTGCCGACTGCAACTAATATGCTGAAAAGCTACTTCAGGTTAACTGCAGGCTTCCTTTGTACACACCCTTTTGAATTCAGCTGTCCACGCATCTGGGCTGATATGAACGCATGGGTGACCAGTTAGCGTTTGTCCAATTGTCTAATGAATAACACGGGGAAAAATTTTTGCATTGAATTTCGAGAGCGTCGGAGTGAGTTGTCATCGTTGCACGTTCATAAAGAAAGGCGTTGAGAGCACCGAATTTTTTTTCAACTAACTGTGTGATCTTTAAACCAAAGGGACCCCAAACTGAAAAACCAGAAAGTGCTGTTTCGCTGCCATTCGGTATTACCAGCATTGCGCATGCATCGATCCGGCTAACGGTGGAACCCGAGGCCTTACAAGTGGAACACAAATACCTCTTTTTACTTTTATGCAACTGAACTATACCTGAGGATCAGTCGGTGCTTTAACTCGTGTCACTACCATCTACACTCAGCGGTTTTTGCCCTAGTTCGTACTGACAGACCAAATTGCTGTTAGGTTCCTATGGGTCCTGGAGCTTTTGAGGGTCTAGTCACTCTAGTCCCTCCTGGATCTCGCTTAGCGAAGTTTCAAGCTGACTACTCAACTATTAATGCTAACCCAAAAGTAATATTTGCAGAAGTTATTTTCTGAGTTCGCAGGTTGTCATAGAACATGACAGGATTGTCGAAAACCGGAAGAAAAATTGTCAAACTTCTTTATGGGAGCTGCGCTATTGATATTGCGCATTTAGGATGTTTCGTGTACACTAACGGACGAGAACGTCCGATTTCTACATATCCTATGCACTTTCAGGCCAGGTTTTGCAACTGTGTGTAATGGTAAGAATAATCTCTGTCAGTTTTTACTGCTTTGCACAGGTACTGAAAGGTTTTACGTGCATCGCCTTGTAATGTGATTTTGCCTCCTTTGCAACATAAATTGAATGAAAAGCGGTATCGTTTGTATTCGTTCTAGCTCTTTTTATGTTAAGTATTGACAGTAGCTATATAGCATGTCTTTCGTTTCGTACATCATCAATGAATTTGTGTTTAATCATTTTGCTAACCCAGTCACCTCAGAAGGCCCGTCGAACGAATAGAATCTATAAATAACAGTGATGGAATCATATATGAGACGTTTTGGTTCTACAAACTTTATTCTAAGATTAGTAATCAATTCTGTTACATTCTCCTATTGAATTTTCTATAGATCTTTGTTAATCGTATTCGATGCTTGTTGTTTGAACTTTTCGCATAGACACTACGAAATTTACCGGCCAGACGCCGTCTCTTGCTCACCGGAACTCCGGTACAAAATCAGTTGGACGAATTGTGGTCCCTGGCCGAATTCTGTGCCCCCGGCCGGNGACAGTTTGTGCTGACTCGATCAAATTCTCATCACGGTTTGGACTCCGATTCTGCGTCTGAATCAAAAGAAACCCAATCTCCTGCGTATCGTTTATCTCAGCTACTAAGTACCTTTCTGCTACGGCGCACTGTAGACGTGATTCAAAAGGAACTGACCACAAAAAGTATATCCAAAATCCCTTTTGATGATGCATAGCTCTCTTCATCGAAATATTCTCAGCTTCTCTGGTTGCGGCTTGTAAAAGTCTTATCAATGCTGGGAATCGTATGTTCACCCTCGTGATCAGTGTTGTTCATTGGATGCTGATCATCTCCGAGGGGAACAGTGCTCATGTTATGTTTGGTTGACCAAATAAGATTTTTATTACATTCTGTGAAAAGCCAGCATGTTCATAGTTTGTTTTTCTCCTACTGGCTTGTACAATGCATTTTTGTTTACTTAGATTATCGATTCATCATATAATCATTCATTCCGGGACACAGAAATGGTCAAACTTTGAAAGTCAAATTGCAATTTCAGTTTTGTGTAGGAACTCTGGTGCCCAACGCAATCGCTCAGTCCCTCTGCCTTTCTCCGTCCATTCTATGCATATGTGCGTATCTATGTGCCGACTGCAATGCAAACATCCCTGATTTATTGTACGAACAATTTTTGTGTTCCAGATTAAATGGCTGCATTAAACCACCGTTAGTTTGGAGTCATTAACATCAAACACTCATCACACTAGGTAGGATACGGGGAGGATTTTTTATGGGAAACACTAACTATAATCCGTCCACGCTAACCCTCAGTTGCTCATCTCATATCATCATTTGATGATATAGCGTTCATTCTCAAAAAGCTGTCTGAGTCTCAGTGTTGTAATCACTGATGAATTTGAGCGACTAATTTTAGCAAACACTTTCTGATTCTTTAACTTTCAGAATCGTCATGCCTTGATACAGGTATGTGATATGAAACGCGTGTCCGAACAAATTTACCGGGTCTTACAAATGCGATTATTGTGACGAAAATACACTTTCTGGGTACATGTATATGAAGGAAGTGACAAAAGACTACGGGAAACGCACGCCTGACGAGCGGAAAGAACCACAAAACCGATCGTGTGATTCCGGGAAGATTTCGTTCAGTCATTCATATACTACGTGTTGGAATATATAATAATAATAAGAATATATATTTAATAATAAGTGGTATGTGAATGACTGAACAAAATTCCCCCGAAAGTACACGACCGGTTTCGCGGTTCTTGCCGCTCGTCAGGCATGCGTATCCGGTAATCTTTTGTCAGTTCATTCATATACTTGTACCCAGGAAGTGTATTGTCGTCACAATAACCTTGTTTGCAACACTGGGTAACCATTGGATAGACAGTTCTTTCAGAGCCAGTCCAATGAAGAATGAATGCTATGATTCGATGTTTTGTAAGTGGGTTAGTTGCTACTAACCCCAACAAACGTGGTCTGATGGTCTTGGTAGAATATTTCATAATAAGTAGTATATATATATTCAATAATCGAGGTAGGATTGGATTAGCGGAATTGCGTTCGAGTGATCTGCTTGGTGTATAACCGCAACAAGATGCTAATTGACCGAATCTTTGGATAAGCAGCTCTCGTGCATCAATTGCTTTTCAACTGTTTAATGGCCATCTGCTCGGATTTTATTCTGTCCAGTTAATCTGTGCTCTGTTCCCAGATCCTGTGCCATATGATCAATTGTGTAAACAACAGTCGAAACTTTAGTTATTTCACAAGCTAGCCGAGCTGATAATATACCACCTGTTGTTGTGTCTCGTTCTATTCTGTGCCACATGCCAAGGTGTACAATATACCAATCATAATGCCATGTTATTGGTTTGCGGACACAATTTATACAACTGTGAAGGTTTCGTTTACAACTGTGCTGCTTGATGTTTATTTTCTCTCTGTTTCACTGGCTGTTTATTTCATACAGTGAAAGCCAGTTACCTTAAAATCTTTGGTTGTCCACTTTGGGTTAAACTTTTCCTATTCCACTTCAGAAGGACCCAAATTGGCAATGCTTCTATTCCTGCAGCGATACTCTAGCGACGGGTGTTTTTTGTTCAATCGATGTCAGCATCGCACTAATCCAGATAATGCATTCTAATGTTTGATTTGTTTTACAGAGCACACTGGGAACAACACAGCTTGGGTGAACGAGCTCACTTGTAGTTATTCGTAGTCCTGCCAATGCGTAACCTTAATTACGAATGACAGAAGAAACGGGTGGGACAAATAGCAGATCCCAGTGGTTTAGATCTGGCTCCAAACGTGTGTATGTGTGCCCACGCGTCAAATTGATTGCATTGTCAAGTGTTCAAGTGGCTACGCACATATTAAAGAAGATGAAGTGTATCAGTGGGGATGGAGTGCTTGCACAAGCGGGATTGTACGCGCGATTTACTTGCAACTTAGGCCAGATTTAGACCATTTGAACTGTAGTTTGTCATCCCGCCTTCTTGTTTTGTGAATCACATTTGATGGATTGAGATCAGTGCGGATGAGTAAGAAGATGAGATTGTTTGTGACATTGTATTTTTCTCAGCTATTCATTCTGTTTCGCAACTGTAAAAGCGTGCTACACATGACCGACTGGCGGATGTGTTTGGAATGTTCAGCTTGATCTGGAATTTGTCTGGCGCTAATGTTGTTTTGGTTCTCTGATATTCTTTTACACCTAGACGAATTTGTCGTGTTTTGTCGTCCAAGTCCAATACAAGCGCAACTGGAATCGACCATGCGTGACTGGATACAAAATGAGTTGAATGTACCCTGTTTGGGCGTCTTCACGTCCCAGACCGATCTATCGATAGCGACCAACGAGTTTGAAATCCCTGATCCGGAGACAGACTTCGAGGAATGGGAGAACTTGGATCCCGATATCCCGGTCTGTTCAGACAAGCGTCGGTCTGTTGGCGTTGGCGCGCAATCTATTCTCTGTGCAATTACCGCTTTTCGAAAAGTGTTCAATCATCCGGCACTGTTGTTCAAGTGCATTCAACCTAAAAACAGTTCACCTAATTCTTATGTAGGTTTAGCATTGTAATGCTCATCCTTATTTTCCGAAGCACTTGAGGGTGTAGGGGTGGATTTGGTTTTGCCGCGGATACTATTTTGTTTTTATTAAAACTGCATGTTCTGATGGAAGTTAGTAATAATACATTTTTTGCAGTGTATCAATGTTTGGATAGTGGGTGCATTGTCTGACTCCAGGTTGGTCCAACTTGCTGGCCTTAGGAACTTGAACGTTATCAAGTGATTCTTGAATTTTTGTAGAACACTATGGGATTACCGAATTCATTCGACAAATGTGTTACTATACTACTGTGGGCGCTGAGTTCGAAACATCCAAAATCTGCAAAAGCCATTGACAAGTTTAATCTAAATACAGACAGTTCAGGCAAGTATGCTACCCCAGTGATACAGTGCTATGCATTTATCGCACAACGGTTTATGCAATTAATATGTAGAGTATCACAATATCAGATCCAAATTTGGAACGGATGTTATTGAAGTGATTGTGCGTCATGCTCATAGTATTAGATCCGTGAAGGAAAACGTTTGGATTAACCATGACGATGAAAAACCAAAAACAAGTTTATTTTTTGGTGACGACGTTTCGACCCTATTGGAAGGCCTCTATCAAGTCAATTGACTTGATTATAATTGACTTGATAAAGGCCTTCCAAGAGGGTCGAAACGTCGTCACCAAAAAATAAACTTGTTTTTGGTTTTTCATCGTCATGGCTAATCCAAACGTTTTCCTTCACGGATCTAATATGTAGAGTAGTGCAGATTATACGATATGGGATTTGGTCATTTCCATCCAGTATTCCTAGTTAGGTAGTAAAAACGTGGGCTTAATTGAGGTGGATGTTATAAGTTTGTCCAAGATGAGTGAGTGGAACAATTGCAAGGCTATTTAAAGAATGTGAGAGAAAAAAACTCAAAGGTTTGCTCTTTCATTTTTACCGGTTTACAACACGGATACCGTCTTATCCAAACTCCGAACTAGGTTCCACTGTGGGTGCAAGCAATGAACGATAATGTATCCCGTGCGAGCAGTTTTTCGGAGTTGTTTATGCCTGTAGGATACAGTTTATTTTGATGAACCACCTTGAAGAATTTTAGCTGCATACTGATTGGATTCACGTTTACTTTTTATTGCACAAATAAGGCAAAAGAAGAGTAAAAC